GCGTGTCGCTTATCACCAGGGCTCTGCTTGTTTGTCCTGTCGTTTGATTTCATAAAAAAGTCCAAGTACTTATGCCGAACCACTGAGACTTAAGATCCATTATGGTGCAAGCAATCACTGGGTTCGTTTTCGAATTAACAGGTATTGAAAATGATTTACTCGATGTTGGCTTAATAATGTCTTCACAGTAAATAAATACATTAAATAATCAGCATACTAACCAATGAATCACGTCTGTAAACATCTTATATCTTCACACACTACTACTGATAAATGTTCTCAATAAAAACACACTTATCATTCACCATACACAATTTCTGTTCAATAATGTAGTTATTGTTTCACTTATTACAACTGAGGTAGTATAATTTATAATTAGTTTTCCTTTAAATATGTATTTCGTGATTATAAAATATGTTAGACAGTGTTTTTTGTTTATTAAAAACTAATGTGACACAACTAAATAATAGTTCACTAAATCCAGTAGGCTGCGGTGATTAGTCAGTGTGACAAGTACATGGGAGCTTCAGTGGATTATTTTTCATCAATAATGCATAACAATAGTGAAAATTGCTTATGCATTCACTGCTCCTCTCACAATGCATAGAAAATAGTAAGTGTTGAATATGTTAAATAACACATTTAATTATACAGTACTTGCGATGACATAGAGGCTATTATCGTTTAATTATCTACTTACATACCTCAGGAAGTCTAGAAGGACATATTGAATCAAGTAATCAGTAGATTTTTTTTCAATTTAATGTTCAATGCTTGTTACAACTCTTTTATGTTTGCGTAATCATTAGTTGTTGATTGAAATTCTTTGAATGAAATATTTTTTGTAATGAACGTCATACAGTAATGGTTATGATTACTATTTGAAGTACAGAATAGAGCTCTTCATTAAAAACCTATGTTATACTTAATATCTTAAACTGTATGAAAATTATCACCATGTATATCCCCTCTCAGTCCTTCCTTTAAGCTTCGCGTTGATTTTGGGTAAAATGTATCTGTGTGGGAATAAATTTGAAACTAAAATATGTTATAACTGAAATTAAAAAATATTTTTATCAAGACTTTAACAAAATTCAATATTAATTTTGGATGATTCTTAAGTTGATTCCAATTAGATAAAACTGTTCTCGTAGCAGGTCAAGGCATTTTTAAATTTTAATTTGTGAGTTGAAGCATTACTCATAACAGTACTACTGTTGAACAACCTACTTAACATTTAAACAAAGAATTCATACACATGTGTAATTAATTTCAATAAAGTATTTGAAATATTGAGTAAAATCTGCTTACAACTTTGGTTACAGATATGTTCTTTACTGAGTTGTCATGTTGAAAGTGCAGATCAAACATTAATTATTTTATGACAAGCATCATAATAGAAGCACATACAAATAATAAAAATTTGTGCATATTGTACAGACCTCTCATATAGTCATTGTCTGAGCTATACTTTTGACTGCAAGGAGACTTTCACTTTTAGACTGAATGCCAATAACGGTTAGTATGATTCACAGTCAGTGTGCTTACATGACAGTGCATGTATCAGAAGCAAGAAAACACCATTTTGTCTTGTTAACTTGATGTAGAACAGCATTCCAATATCACCTGGTTTTTATAGAAATTAACAAGCAAGAGATATTTTTTGGATTCCTCATTCTGTCGTAATTTATTTATTTGGTTGGCTTTTATTTATGCTGTAAATTACTTCCTGAATTTATTTAACATAATGTGGTTTGGTTATATTTTACATATATATTTTTTGTGGTTAAACTGTCGTGAGTTATTGTGCCCGTGCCTTTAAAGATTTCTGAAGTATTAGTTCCCACTGATGGGCACGGGTTTCCTTAAAGGAGAGACTAAGGCAATATTTGCAGAGCAAAAAGAAAGAACAATTTTTTCTTTCAGTGGCTTTGCATAATATGTAGTTAAAATATAAATACTATTTATTTTAAATCTGTTTTAGATTATCTGTCTACTATGCTTTTCTAAGCTTTGTATTTATTTCTAATAGAAACGTAAGTTTTACAAAAAATTAAAAGAAAAAAATACAATTGTTTCTCTGTTCCTACTTCTAACAACGCTTTTTCTAATTTTGTACAAGACCAATATTTGCTCAATGAATATTAAATAATACTATTTGTATTTGCATTATCAGCGAGGCCATCAAATTAACAGGTCTGAAAATTCGTCTTTTCATGTGACATAGACAGATTAATTTTCTTTAAATTTAGCTTTGACTTTCGACATCTTTATTATTTGTTTTAAAACTTTGAAATTCCGCAACTGTTATATTATCATTCTATTTCAATGATTCTATATTATTGTTTATTTAACGACCTCAGTGGCTAAGTAGTTGAAAACTGTGGGCGTTTGATGAGGCAGTCCTGGATTCAATTCCAGAACCAGAAGCTTTCGAAATTGGTTCTGGTCTCTGTTCTTATTTATTAGTGTTATTTTGGGTCTGTTTTAAAATCTCGTCTGCCCTATAGCCTAAGCGCTTACTTCTTCCAAATCCGAGACTATAACTATATAAAACGCGGATGTACTTCGGATGTCGCTTGTGCACTTAGTCCGATTCGAATACGAGAAAATACAAATATCCTAAAATGATTACTGTGACATTTCGGACCGTCATTTTCCGGATTCGGAACTGATGCGAATCGGACGTATTACGCAAAAGCTCTTGTCAATTTTTAATTGGGAGTATACAAATTAATTGTTTCAAATCCATGTATCAATGTGTACCTGGGGGTCTTCTCTCGTCTGACATCCGTCCAAAACAATTACTGTCAAATAAGTAATCGAACTTAGTACCTGTGTAAATATTTGTAGTGTATATATTTTCCGCTTCGGGTAAGTTTTTCATTTTTTAACCTGGGCGACGAGCCCCCCGATGACCGTGGAGGAACAGTGCCTTCAGTGGGCCTAAATATAGATAAAAAATATCTTCGCTTGAAGCGAGTGCAGTAGATACGGAAGATGGTGCCCGCAGTGATGGCGGGCGCAAAAATAGGAAACGCATTTTGGGAACATTCTTAAAAAAAACTCGACAAAATTAAAAGATAAAGTCAAGTATGAAGCTTCATTCGCATCATGCATCTTTTAATTTGGTCGAATATTACTTATTTGACAGTAATTGTTTCGGACAGATGCCGGACGGAGAACGGAAGTTGACCCCCTGGTACTAAACTTAAAACCAGTGTTGCCAGACGTTTCATTACAAAAAGTCGAGTTGTCCATTTTGGTAATTGTCTTTATTTTGTATTTTATCATACACACATACATATACTTCACGCCTTTTCCCCATCGGGATAGGCAGAGACAAGTCTTCCATTCGCTACGGTTCTGACACACATCTTTCGACTCATCAACATGCATCAATGCTTTCATACACGCTCGTCGGTTAAGGGTACTCTGGCCTGGCCCTTTAGGATGGCCTTAATTTGGTCCTTACCAACTTACCTTGCCTTGCTAATTTATTCATCAAGAGTGACTCCAGCCATACTTCTCAAAGCTGTCATTTCTACTGCATTAATTTTACTTAATCACACGTACTTTCTGTCAAAACTTTCAAAGAATTGTCCATGAATAAGTTGAACAACCATGGCGAAGTTACACATCCCTAACATCTTTTCCGATATTGTACCAGTTAGTGTAAGCACCATTTATTCTGAGACAGGCACTGGAATCCTCAAGAGACTAGACTGCCGTCCACCCCATCCACACAGACACCACCACACAGACAATGTCGACCACAATTCTTTCCTTTATATTCTGTCATAGGCCTTCTCCAAGTGTATAAAAGCGCAATAGACTGTTTGCCTTTTTGCCAAGAATTTTTCGGTTGTACTTCGCAAGGAGAAGACCTAATCCATACATCCCATTCCTCTTCTAAATTCCGCTTACACGTCCCAAATTTTTTCTTTCGATTCTTTCATCACTCTCTGAATATGAATACCTTTGCATAAAATTTGCCGACAATGCTGAGAAGACTGATTCTGCGGTAATTTTTGCAGTCTTGCTGCGACCCTTTTCCCTTATATATAATAATTGTACGTTGACAACCTTGCCCCAGTCTCCTGGCACTCGACCGCTTGAAACAAAGGTTGAAAATGCGGTGTAGCTGACTAGCGACCACACCCTGTCTAGCTCTCAGCATTTCAACAGAAATTCTGTCATGTCAGCTAAAGCTAAATCTGGTAAACCAGATTTCATACTATTCATTGCTTTCATAATCTCCGGTCGACGACGACGGTCTGAGCCTGCATTTGTACTTCTTCCTTCTGAAGCAAACTTTCAAAATACTCCATCAATCTCTTTAATACGCTGATTTTTTGCAGTTGCGAGGTTGTGATTTTGCCTCTAGCTGTTCTTTTAGACTTCCAACTTCCAAACCACGTAATGTTGCTTTGAAAGTCATCAGATAACCTTCTGTCAACTTCGTCTTTCTGGCATTGTTTCTTCCTTTCCACATCTTTCGCTACATCTTTTCTTTTATACTCTTTCCTTGCCTCGTTTACATCCTCTTTCATTGCCTTTCGTATTGTATTGTACTTTATCGTAAGTTTGTTTTTTTATACTTTTGGCACATGTGAACCGTATAAACTATTTTTCTTCCTTTCAATGGTGGTTCGCAAGTCAATTAGTGTTAAGGTTGAAATATTTAGCGGCGGTAGTCCAGTGTGGGAAAATGGTTACTTCTCACTTGTGAGGTCGGTGGTTGCGTGTACCTATGACTTTAATTTGTGAATTGTCATTAATGATAAAGAAAGACATTGCGATGAAACCAGCACTTCATAGATGGATCACAACCCATTTAGAGTGGTTACACACGCCGACTTTCAGCAATCGCGCGTTTGTATCGATGCAGTCACGCGCTTGCATCGCGTTTGAGTCGTTGCTTAAGCTCGCCGTGTGTAACCGCTCTTAATTGCGATAAAGCGAACAGCTAAGTACAGGTGAAGACTGAAAATAGTAAAACTGCCTTTAACTTTCCGTCCACATCCTCAATTGTATTTTCTATTAGTTTTTAAATAAGTAACACACACTCTAAAAATGTACTGTATTTTTTTGTATGTATGTTAAGCGTTTACTCCGCCGTTATCGCATCGTTATTTGAGAACCGACTTTGATGATTCTTTTTTTGTTGGAAACCTTACGGAACCTTAGTATAGGTCCCATTTAAATTTGAAGAAAACAGCACACAACAACAACAGCACGAACTTTTGAGGACGGTGTTTAGAGGTTCTTGTGAAAGAGTTCGTCCAGAGAAGTACTACCTTACCTATTTCTGCCGCCAAGCAATAATGTGAGCATTACTGCTTTTCGGTTTTGAGGGGTTAAATATGGAACTTGTCAACTTATGTCTCAGGGTGACAGACGCAGTGGCAATGTCTCTCAGATCTTTGCGATTTTAAACTCCAACAGTAATGGACATGTGTGTCGCTTACCACGAGGCGCACCACTTGTTCCTGACACCACTTGGTATCGTGAAAAAATCCCTTGGAAAACGAGTCTCCAACCCACATTGGGCCACCATGTCTGATACTGTTGTGAGAAGTATAATGAGTTGATAATTAATGTTAAGGTTTT